TCGATTGGAAAATACAACTAGAAAAAGGACAAATAGCACGAGATTTAAAAGATGACACAATACTTCATAAAGCAATACGACTTCCCTGTGAAAACTTCCAAGGATATTGTGATCCCACTACACGAACACAATTAACTAATGTTTGGTTCCCCGAAGACTCATGTACCAAATTTCAAGCGGCAAGAATACACGCTAGATTGACAAATTATCATCACAAATACTTCATTTAATCTATTCCCTTTGAAAAGTAAACCCTGAAAAAGTTAGACAAAACGACTATGAATTCAAAAATACCCTCAATATAGAAAACAAGTTGTTACGTTTTCAAATCTACTCAGAAACAGAACTCGCTTGCAAATATAGCACACCACTTTATAAAACACAATACTGAGAAAATCTTGTCGAATACGAACAAGGTTTCGATATGAACACCGGAAAACTAGTAATTATCGATTACTTAACACATCACCCTTCAAATCAAGACGAACACTCATACGTACCAGTCACACTTCTCAAAAACACAGGAATAACTGGTGGAAAAGTTAAATCACAAGACAAAAGTAGTAAACGTTTACAAGAACTATCACTCATGAACAACACCTATTTTGGTACAATTCACTACTACATTCACTTAGACATGAAATTAGACTACACAAAAAGTAGAATTTTTCTTGAAATGTCTTTTTCAGAACTAGAAACACTTTATCATGTATGTGAACTTGAACGTACACAAATCTTACAGCCACCTGCACTTGTAGTACTAAAAATAAATCATGCAGGATACTTATTATCATGAAATAGATCCAATTATGAAGGATTAAAAAAAGTATTATGAAGGAAATATACTATGGTATTACACCTGTACAAAAAAAGCATCATTATACGTTTTTGAAGAAAAAAGATGTTACAAAAGAATCCCCACGTTCTACAAAATTAAAGTACATCTTGTTGACACACTCTCATGAAGAATTTATTGTTGGGATAAAGCTTTCCCATGTGGATCACAAAACAGTCACAATGATGAACCATTCAACCCTGATGAAGATAAATATTACCTCCTTACACCATACCCTACACTTTTGCAACCATTAAAGAAATTCTCACCGGAAAGTATTAGAGCTTTTGCCCGAAACCCTAATATCGACTTACAATCAATAGAAATAATACTCGAAATCAGGCGTTCGTTTAACAATTTGAATCAACTTCACTCTATCAATTTGAACTGGATAACTTTGAAACACTTCAACGACAAATTTAGCACTCTCAATCACTAAGTATTCACCAACTCTCAAAGGCTATCACATCATCAGACTCCTGAAATCATTTTGAACTGAAAAACGATCTCACAGAGTCTTTAAACGAAAATTTCCTTACAGCCCCTTTCCTACTAACGAGCCAGCTCAATCATTCACAACTCATCCACTCCACACTAACACCAAAGATTTTCTTCAAGTTTGTCTACCATTCTCCCACACCAAACTTATTTTCACTCAAATCCTAACAATGATCAACCTAATTATGTAAACGAACATGTATTATACCCCACGCTTTCATGGACTACAATCTATCACTTTAGTTACCCACTATCACTACCACTATATAGCACTCCCGACGATAACGAATTGTGCCATACTCGACTCTAACATCTAACAACAGCCCTGACTGAAAAACAATTCACTATCATCGGATACAATCAAACGCTCAACAGATTCAACGCACTAAAAGCCAACAGATTTTCCATCGACCACTATGATCAATCTTTAACACGAGCAAGCGAAGATACCTTCCTAGATGACGACCCAAATACTAACCTTCAGTTCACCGAAAAAATTTTCAATAAACCACGATTTGTTTTTGCTCTAAATAGCATGAATAAAAAATTCGACCACGTCATTTCAGCCGTACTTCGCGATACACAAGCCTACGACTCATACTTTAACAAAGTCAACCATTTTTCACTAACCGTTAATTTCCTAACACCAAAAGACCTTGATTTACACTGTTCACACGACATCATGTTACGCACTCAAACACTTACTATTAATTTATCCAACCCCACTATACGACTAACACATCATCATGAAACTTACATCACCGATTTCAATTTAATAACTCAAAATAGACTTCACCATTCTTTCTAAACTGCACATATTGCATCAAAAAACTAACATGCAAGGAATCATCCGTAACTAAGATCCCATCAGACAAGTGAATATATTCTGCCCACTAACCAAAACCTTCAACGTTGACGAATCCCGACCACTAATTGTCCCACACTAATATATACAGCCCGTCGGAAATCCCGATCCGAGAATATACCCATAATAGTAAAAATAATCACTTTATAACCACATTCAAAACACACCGTATGAATTCTCACCAAGCACTGAAGAGCACAAGATCATTAAAGCACTCGAATTGCTTTGGCCCCTTCTTCAAACTAAATACATCACTCGCCTACTAGCTAAACCTCTAACATCATCAGACATCATCCACGACGTCTTTCCCATGCATTTTTCGCTGATGAGTACGTAAGAAGGAATTAAATTTTTTATACTAATAACTTAGAACAAAAACTAACCAATTTTTATAAGGGTTTCTTTTTTCTTTAGCCTTCATTGCACAATCATCTAAAACAAGAAAAATAATTAAAAAAATGAAAACTCCCTTCTAAAAATATAGGATTCGTATTAACAAATCGCAAATATAATTAATATGAAGAATTGAAACTTACCCAAAACAGCAAAAATTTGATAAATTTTCCTCAATGCAGTGAAATAATTTTCAACAAGCAGTAAATTTATCAATTTAACTCCCCAAAAGCCGTAAAATTGATATTTCAGTTAGTAAATTCATTTAAAAAAGCAGATAATATCAAAGTAATACTAACCTTTTCAAAGACGCTTCTTTAAGATTTAAAATCATTCACTCGCCCATAATTTTATCCACAATCGCACAGCTCGTCCACGAAGAATTGTTTAAAATAATGAATTCTAGTTGAAAATTTAACTGATAACAACTCTAACCAGTTTTCACACGTTTCAAACTTTACTTTAACCCAGTTGAAAGGAATTATATAGTAAGCTAAACCAACCAACGCAGCTTAATAACGCCACAAACCACAACCTATTAGCATGACTAAGAAAAGAAAACCCACAGAACACAAACCAGATTGAAGCCAGCTCAAAACTGGATAAATTATTTTTTTGAAAATTTAACACAAACAAACAAAACACAAAAAAATGTAGGAGAAGCCCAAACCAAACGATTTGATTTTTGAGAAAAGGACACAACCGAAACAAAAGGGCGACAACAACTAATAAAAAAACAGGAACAAAAGGTTGACACAAAAAGAGACTCTGTAAAAAAAGACCATAAAAATTAACCCACTTCTGGCCTAACCCACCAGAACGAAGACGCCTGGAAGTACATGCCAACCCTGTGCACTACAGCATTCCGTCAATTTTTGATAAGAGAGGCTCTAGGGTGAGCAACTCTTAAAAAAACTGATCTAAACTAAGAACGCTTTTGCGATAACCATTAAAAAAAATCATGACTAAAAAAAACTAACAAAGAAATTTATATCTGTAAACAATAAAATGCAGTATAGATAGATTTCTTAAGGCCCAAAGACAAGCAGCAAAGAAGTTGACGACCAATCACACTCCAACTACGAAATGGCAACTATACCCAATTTGCTTCAAACAGTCACTACCCTTTAAGGATTTAAAGTACGAATCAGCATCGCAGCATAGGAAACCCATTGAACCAGACCAATGGCCATCTCGATGTTGAATACACGTATAAATCCTAGTCTCTTGGCACTTCATGCGAAAAAGTCAAACTTCAAGTCAAACTTCTAACTTAACGAAATCAATACTTCATTGCAACCGATCAGAATTCTTGACACAATCTCTCAAGACTACCACGATCAACGAGACCCACTAAGAAAAAAGAATATGACAAACTTCACTCGTCAGAGACCATCAAAAACACTTCTTCCTTTTTCAAAAATCCAATGCTCTTGCCTATGCCAAAATTTAAAAGAGAGAACAACATCGTTCATCCTTCACTACATTAATCAATTAAAATCTAAAACTCTCTAAACCCCGGATGTGTGCAATCAGTTCTAAACTAGTAATTTATAATTGTTTATAAATATGATACTCTTTTTCTATAAGACATTCCTAACTAAAAAATCATATTCCATCACTAACAATCACACTTATTTGTAAGTGCTGAAACTACTTGTAGTTGCAGCACCAGAGCAATTTGAATTAAACTTAGAAAACAGTTGTTCTCTCCTTCGAGAAACTGACTCGCAAATACCAGTATGCACTAGATCTATTGAGACAGGAGATGTAAGAGTAAGATTAAGATTGGTTTTAGACTAAGAAGTTGCACGAATCTATCCGGCCGAAAATAAGACAAACAGACGGTGTACCTTATCTGAAATTACTCTCTGAGTATAGCCTAAAAGACTTAACTCATCAGGTTGCTTCAAATCGCCGCAGAAATTTCTGAATTCCCTCCTGAGAGTTTTTTCTTTTTTTAAAAATTACCCCTTGTTAACTATTCTGAAGATTGAATTGTTTCAGATGTTCATAGAAGGCGATAAACTGTCATTTTGTTTCGGCGGTTGCTTAGACAATTTTTAGTCTGTTCGCTTTGTAAATATTAGGTCTACACTTTATCACAAAGATCACATAATCGCCAAGCACTCTGAAAGAGCCAATAGGCTTTGTTGGGCTTACAATTTAAAAATTGGATTTTTTTATCCGAACACTGTTTTCGTCTGATTTTTTGAATCAAAATCTGATTGTTAAGTAACCACACTGCGTGCTCACTTAGAGCTTAGTTTTTTATTATGAATCTCTCAACACAAAAGCAAACTGTGTGTAACAAGCTCTTAAACGCAATAACAATAGTTTTATATCGAAGATTGGTATACATGTAAGTATCAAACGGAAAATAGAACACATGAGCTTAACCATAAAAGTAATTTTTTGCTTAAACAACTAATAACAATATTGTTGACTATAACATTGTTTTCTCGCAAAAAAGAGCACATTGATTTACAAATTTTATCTATATATCTGTTTTGATGTAAGCTTGATGTAAAATTGTTAGAAAAGTTAAAAACATGGACAAATCAATTGATAACTTGAGCAACGCTGAAAGCGAAATGACTTCGGCTACAGATGACGAATTGCAAATTATCAGCTCACGAGCGGCCGAAATTCAACGACAGTTCAGAAGCGAACTCAAATCACTAGACGAGAAACGAAAACACTCGCGGCGAAAGCCGAAACAAACCGATGAGTTAAATTCGTCAACTTCTTCAATTTCAGAAAGCTCGTCTCGGCTGTTTCCTAAAATGGATATCATCCAATCAGATCTGAATAGTTTGAACCAACTTCTAGCCAATCGGATTCAAGAAACAACGGCTGAAAGAGTATCATTCGCACGACCAAAGTCAGCTCTAAGCCAATCATATCATAGCAAATACGATCAAGTCATAGAAAATGAGGACAACGAGACAATGACTGCTTTAGACGACGCGATTCAGAAATCTCTAGAACGAATTAAGCGAAACATGCGAATCAAAGGTGACGATGATTTCACTGAAAGTTCGTCTACAATTCTGGACAGAACAAAAACTCCAGTAAATGAAATTCTAAAACAACCAGCTGCTAACCAAGGTCAAGTGTCCAATAATATAGGAGATCAAAATACTCAAAATTTGACTTCGGATCAATTTGTGAGCGCTATCAGAAAGGAAAAAGCTGAATTTACTGATAATTTGGAACACGAAAACTTCAAACGAAGAGTGAATTTGCTGAAATATGAATTGGAAGCTGAACAAAAGTCTTCAAGTGCTAAAATAACAGTTCTAAGCGAAGAGCTTAAAACCAACAAAGGTCTTCTTGATCAGTCTTCACGAAAGATATATGAGCTCGAGCAAGAATTATCGGCTCTTAATGAGCGTTTGGAAGTCGAAATTGGGAAAAATTTTGAGCTGAATCAAACTCTCAAAAACAAAGTAGGGTACTTAGTCAACGAAATTGATAACTTCAAAGTATTCGAACGAGATGTCGAGAAAAAGTTGGAAGAAAAATCAAAGAAAATTGACGAATTGAACGAGGAAAATCGTCAAAAACACGAAGAAAACGAAAGCTTGAAGGAAGCGTATGCTAAACAACTTTCGAGTTTGAAAGACGACTTAGCTGCTGCGAGGTCGAAATTTGAACGAAACGTGAACAATTTATCCGAACAAAACCGAGTCGAGCGGGAAAATTTAATTGCAAACCTGAACAAGCGACACGACACGACTATCAAACTTTTACGTAACAAAATGGAAGACGAGAAAGAAATTCTCGATGACGAGATTAAAAATCTAAAAATGAAATTGAAAGAACGAGACCAAGAACACGACAGTGAGTTACGTAAGCAGAAAAACGACTTCGACGACAAAATTGAAGCTCGGTTAACTCACGAGCGATCTTTAACCGACTCGGAAAAAGAAGAAGCCTTGCGCCGACAGCAAATGAAATACGAAGCCGAGTTGGATTCGCTTCGCAAACGACTGAATGACGACATAGACGCCGAAAAACGACGAGGCATGGAGTCGGATCGGATCGCGGAGTCGTTGAGAGCCGAGTTGGCTTCGGCTAAGGAGGACATCGCCAACCTGCAACGGGAGTCTGTGGAAGCCATTAAGGTAAGAATAATCTAGAAGCTTTATAAGTTCATTTTAATGAAGTTTCTTGAAACTTTTTCAAGTAACCGTCTGTATAATAAAAAAAAGGTAGTTGAAGAATAATTTATATCCCAGCTGTTTTGACTACCTTTTTTTCTTAAAACTTAGATTTTTTTGCATAATCAAGATACTTTAATACGGAAAAGGATCTACTTAACAATTGCCCTCCCTTTGGTACCTACTTAAGAATTGCCACCCCTATTAATAAAAGCAGTAAATTAGCGCTAGAGGTTTCTATTGAGACTTCTAATTTTGCTGCAATCTGATTGGTCAAAAATGCGTTATTTTAACCTACTTAACAATTGCCCCCCTTTCTTTAAAAGGGGGGGGGGGGGGGTAATTGTTAAGTAGATCTCGGAAAAAATCAAAAATTGAGGTCGTGTTGCGACAAGCTTCACTGAAACAAAAAAATCGGCTTGTTTTATTCGATTGTTTTGCAAAGTAAAAAAGAGACAGGTCTGAATCAGGGGCACCATATCAATTCGCGATGAAGAGCTGATAGAAGCTCAATCACTGACCTGTTTCCCACTTCGGTTTAAATTTTCACAAAAGTTCAACAGCTTTTCGGTTGAAGCAGCATTGATCGAGCTAGCTTTATATCCTTTTTTAGAAAAAAAATTGTTCGCTTGTTGTTGGAAAAAATGAAAATAATTAATTAATGATACTAAAGATTGAAGGGGCAGAGTCATATTGGTTCAATATAATAATTGAACAAGATCATATGTAGGATCTTAAAACAAGAAAAGAAAACAAAAATGACTTCGATTTATTCTCTTTAGGAAACGCAGCGTGCGTGTGAGGCTGCGAGTGACATGAAGATATCCCAGCTGAAGGAGGAGTGGGACGAGGAGAGGGTGGGGGAGGGGGAGAGAGTGAGGGGGGAGATGCAGGGGGTGATCAAGGACAAACAGACAGCCGATCTGGATGTGGAAAGACTCACTAATAAGGTTGGAGGGTGAATCTTCTCAAACTACTAAAAAGATCGTGTTTTGGCCGAAATTTCTGCGCCACAGGCATAAATTTGCAAAACAGGCCAAAAGAGACGTTTCAAAGTACTTTTTGAAACATTTTGACCAAACAATCACATTTTTTTAGCGCTTCGACCTCAAAATTATTAAATACTAGCGCCAAAGGCGCCTATAGAAAAATTGTAGTGTCGGTCAGCCAAAAATATATATCTCAAAATAGTACAAAATAGGTTTTTCAGAGAGTATTTTGTTTTTTAATTAAAAAGTTCAATGAAGAAAAAAATCTTGTCTTGGAAAAATATTAATAAGACCAGATAGCTCCATATCGAGCGGTTTTAACATAACAATCAATTACGCTGATTCAGTCTTTGTAGAAAGAACTAGTAATTCTTTTCTTGCGAAATGTGGTTTTATATCCGCAAACTTCTAAAAATATAGTAGCACAAAATCATGAAAAAGCATATTTCATGATGCCGGTAAAGTTAAGTGAAATCAAGATAATTTTTTGTGTCAAAATTTTCGATAAAGTGTTTATAGCCAAACTGACAGACTATTTTTTTACTATTTTTTTTGAGATATTTAAAAAAAAACTCGAAGCATATAAAGTACAAAGTGACATATTTAGCTCCTACTAGCATGGCAATTATAGCAAATACCCTGCTTCAACCAAATTGGAACGTTTTCTAATAGGGAACAAGATTTTGAAGATTAAATTTAACAAAATAAACTTAAAACTTGAATTTTTTTTTCTGAAAATCCTCATTTTATGTTGTTACACTTATGAGTTAAGACCTAGTAGGTAATACTCATAGAGTAATTTCTGATAAGGTATACCGTCTGCTTGCCACGCTATCTTATTTTTGACCGGATAGATTCGTGCAACTTCTTAGTCTAATACCAATCCTAATCTTCCTCTTACATCTCTTAGTTTCAATAGATCTAGAGTATACTGGTTTGTTACGAGTCGGTCTCTTGGAAAAGGCAACTAAGTTGTAAGTTAAATTCGAAATGCTCTGGTTCTGAATATACAAGTAATTTCAGCACTTAAAAATAAATGTGTTGTTAGTTAGCTGGAGTGTGATTGGTTAGTCTTCAATATTTTATAGGGATAAAATACCTAATTGATAACCAAAAATAATATATAGTTTGGATCAGGTTCCAATAAGCTAAATGCTTTTCCGAAGAAGAAATCGAATGTATCATTTTGAAAACGAAAACGATCAACGAAATAAGAAAAGTACCAACTATAATTAAGAAAACAGCAAGGTTGACCAATGGCTCAGGACGCTCTCCGACCGGATATAAACGCAAGATCTCACTTGCTTAAAGATTTAAAAAGTCCAAAAGAGATTCCAAAGAGAAGTTCTTCAGTGCAGAGCAAAAAAGTGCTATACAGAAAACAAAGAGAAGACAAAGAGGCCTTGCTCTACGATGGAATCAACGCTGACGGAAATTTGAAAAATGAAGAGAATTAGATAAAACATAAACACGTGTAGACAAGTAACCAGAAACCAAAATTGAAAGGTGGATAGCCTTCAAATATGCTGATTCCTCCAAACCACAAATATTTAATCTATCTCTCTTATCGGAATTAGTCGCGGGAGAAAATTTTACATAAAACATGTGAAGTGTTGTCAACTTGTGAACAAATTTATATGTGAATTCAGTATACCACACTGACTATATTGTGAACAAAATGCTGCTTGCTGGTAACAAAGTGTTCGTACAAAGTAGAAATTAGACACAAGAAGGCATTTCAACTTTTGCAATAAAACATGGGGCACTCAATTATTGGCCACTTGCGCAGTTTTATGGAAAATAATGCTCAAATACTCATGTTTTTGTTTATTTGTTTGTTTAATACTTAAACAGTGGAACATTAGAGTGATTCGACAATGAAAAAGAAAAACAAACTGGCTTTTGTAAAAAATACTAAAGACCGTAGCTAAGCTTAATAGATTACGAAAACAGTTCTTTTTCGTTCAACTAAAGCGTAGAAAAACATGTGGAAAACTAACCATAGCTTCTGATACAAAACTTGTGAAAACTTGTTCATAGCGCGAAACAAATTGCACGTTAGCTGTCCCAAATTGGCAAAAATGGCACTCTTCATACCCCCATAATTGTACAAAAAATAATCACAGAAGAAATATATTTTGAACTTAACCTCAGGACAACACTAATTTTTATATGATATAAACAATTTCGATACCACCCCGTAAAAAAGAAAATACCAACCCGAGCACAAATATTCCGTCACTTTCTTCGAAAGTCGGAACAAAAACAGAAACTAAATCCGTTACATCAGAGAAACTCTCACATCTCCCGACATGTCTTTCTAAGTTTTGCCGATAGAAGAAAAAGAAATATAGTTTAAAAAATCCAAAACCATAATAATATTAATGATGATCATGATAATATTTTTTGAGAATGACCAAATAACATTTTTTTGTATAAATTTTTATTACAATTTCTCTGCCTCAAATTAATTATGCTTTAAAAAATCTCCTGTGACAAAAAAGAACTTATAACAAATACAGTTTTTGTGCCTTTAGTAATTTTGTCCACATTTTAGATTAAGATTAGATTAAGATCATTTATCCACGAGGGAAAGGACCAACATACGAGCTGTACAGCTCATCACGGCGAACCGCTGTTGTGCCCCTGTTTAAGAACTACATGCAATTTTTTTGGTTATTTTTCTGGGCTGGGTAATGTTGCCTCACCCTCAAGCAACGAGCACGGATCATGGTGGGCCTCGAACATCCGACCTTTCGATTGAGAGACGGAGACGTAACCACTTCACCACCGCTCCCCCGTAACGACTTCACCACCGCTCCCCCAATTTAAAACAATTGTTGGCATGCGAGTGTATTATTTAGGCAAAAAAACGCATATTCACTGATTACACTTAAAAATCACTTAACGACATGTATTACCTTGTGGAATACACGCTTAACCATGAAAGTGAAGAGCTCTTGTAGGGGATAAAAGAGGGTTGAAAACACGGCTAAGATTGTTTTAGAATTCTTAAAGTAATAACTGCCTGTTCAGGTGGCCGAGTTGGAGTCGAACAAGATGCGTGAACAGAAGAGAGTGTTGGGCCGGATCAACAAAGCCATCTTCGACATCTCAGCCAGCATCGGCATCCAGCCCAGACAAGTATTCCTAGGTATTAAAAAACAACCAAAAAGTAACAAGGAGAGACCCTACAGAAAAATGGTTAAAATTTTTGTTGATAAAAATTTTAAACATTTTTTAAAATTAAATGATTAAAAAATCAATAAAAAAAGGAAAAGTCATAATTAAGCTAGCACGGCAATATGTCTATTTAAACTTGCATTCACGGTGTGTCAAAAGTTTTCGAAAAATGTGTAATAGTAGTTTTTTCAATAGAAAATCGAAGCGTTGAATGTTTTTTTTTTGTGGAGTTAACAAGTTTTTTTGAACAAGTTAAAACACCTTAATAATGTACGAATGAGGGTCTAAACAGTTACTGTAAATTAGCTGTATACCTAAAAGTGATTTGATTATTAGGAGTAAAAAATCAGTTTTTTATTCATTTTTTTTTATTTTTTGAAAACCATTCTTTAATTTGATATCTTTTTTGTATTCAAACATCAGGAGCAGGAGTTGGGGGAGACATGAGTACCAGTCAACAGGGCAATGACAGCACCAGTATCCTCGGGGGAGGGGGAGCAATGAGTTATGATCTGCTCGTAAAGAGCGGACTTGGTATGTTGAGTCTGTTTTTTTTAAGAGTCATCTCAATAATATATATATTATAAATTATTATTTTGAAAATAATTTTAGATGTACAAGAAATCTCCTATCAACAAGCAATCTCCTTTTTTGTCATTTTGATTTCGAAAATTGATTGACAGTTTTGATTGAAGTTCAACTTGGTTGTTTGTTTTTTTTAGACAACTTGAGCGCGACTGCGGTCGAGGTGGTGAAACACAGTAAGGACCACGAGTACAAATTGCAGCAGATCAGAGAACAACTAGCCAGTTATCAGGCACAGAGAGACATGGAGGTGGCAGACACTAAGAACCACCTGGAAAAGGTATGTGTATTAAGATAGCCGATGAACGTCAATTTGGCCTCTATCAAGTTGGACTAATTTTTATATCAGTCGTTTTAACCAAGGACCGATTTAGGATTTAATAAAAATGGAAAAAGTATGGGTATTAAGATAGCCGAATTAAGTTTTAGCCGATTAAGATAGCAATCGTTTTAACCAAGGCTGGACTAGGCTTGTTTTTCAGTCTTTTGTCTACAAAAAATAGTCGTTTTAATCATTGGCGGACTTAAGTTTTTATAATTATTAACTAAAGCAACATCCAGGAAATAAAAAGCCTCAAACATTTTTATAATATTATAAAAATTTAGAATAAAATATGGTGTCAATTGAAGCTAGCAGCTCTACATAAGATTGGCCGCCATCGTTCGCCTTGATAGCACTGGCCCTAAAGTCTTGAAACTTGAAAAAACATGCTTCTTTAAGAAATTAAAAAGTTAGCGAATTTTAATGTTTTTTTCCCCGAACCTAATCAACTCTCTTAAGGAGAAGGGATAAAATTGACTATAGTCACTGAACGTTTTGTCGATTTTTCTTATTGATCTCGACAAATACGATCACTTGGAATTTTTTGTAAAAATATATGTTTTCTTCTTTTATTTACACTTGCAAAAAATAACAAAACAGTTTTAATTTGTCTTTTTCGTATGCTATCTTTTTAAATGTTGATTTAAATACTAGCTGGCAAAACCATTTTTTTCAATGCGTTTGGACTGTTAAGGCGAATGCGACTTGAAAATCAACTTGACTAAAATTAATGGTCTCTTTTGGTGCGCTTCATAGTCTTTGTCTCGATTCATGAATTAAACATGTCCAATTGCCTGTAATCTCAAAACTACGCATTCTTGATAAATAGTTATTGTTACAAATTTGACGAAACTAATAAAATATTCATGCACGAAGTTTCGTTAGTTAAACCAATTTCGGCGACAAAAAACATAGATCGCAACATCAATTTTCTACACCCAGAAAATAACTCCAGTTCAAACATAAAAGAAAAATTCAGTTGTGACACGTTTTTTTTTCTAGAGCTGTGGGGGTTTAACTGAATCTTGTCGTTATCAGGGGCGGATTTAGTGGGGTCGTCAAAATCCGCCCCCATCGAGGAAATTCTAGATCCGCCGCTGACCATTATAAAAAGTTCTGACAGAAAACTCATTTTTCATTAATTTAGCTGACTTGCAATTATCTAACTTGAGAACAGACAGAAAACTGAGTTTAATCTGCACAAGCAGACTCAATTAAATCGGTTTTTTTTTCTTACGCTGAAAGAGTGATTTTCCTGACTGTGCGCGTCAATCTCCACGATTATATGAAAAACGTTTTTTAAACACTTTAATTGATGAGTATTTTCTCGGCAAAATAACTCCGGAAGTTTGAAATAATAACGATAATTTATAATTTTTAACAAGCTCTATCATCGGTAACATCGGCCACCAACAAACTGCACAACTCAAAGCAAGCTGCAAAAATGGCCAGTATTTGTCCTTGAGACAAATTGCTCTTTTTAAAGGTCAGCCTTAATCAAGGCTGAACCAAATTAGAGCGAAAAAACGGTTAAAAAAGGTTTTGGGGGGATCAAACCTGGTTACGGAGCATCCCATCAAGTTCGGTGCATATTTGAGTGCTAGAAAGGAAATGACCTAGTCGGGATTCGAACCGGCGCCGAACCCGCCGGGACGCACCCTGTATACGCTTGGCTACTGTCCCTATATGCAATTTACATTTTGGTTCAGTTTTATGCATTTATACTCTCATGCATTTGCGCTGCAACATCCTCCACCCCTAAACAAGGAAGAACGGGAGCGAGCTTTACGGTCGGGCGGGTCAGTTCGCTCGTAACGGTCTTTATGTCAGCGGATCTCGCGCATCCGTCCTTGCCATAGTGCAGTTTTAGGATACGTGCGAGTGGATAATGTCCACGTGGAGTGTCAGGCTCTATGACCCAAACCAAGTCACCGGCTTTCAACTTAACGTCTGACTGGTTGTGCCACTTTGCCCTCCTATTGAGGGAAGGAACGTATTCCCGCATCCAAACCGTATCCATATTGCGTTAGCGTATGATTGCGCTCTGGCGAACCGCTTCTTATGGTCGAAGTTTTCTTCGAAACTTAGCGACGGAAAACTCGCTGCGTGTTGGCCAAGGATAAAATGATTCGGGGTCAACGCCTCTAAATCTAGCGGATCGGAACTAACGGCTGTTATCGGTCTAGCGTTGAGTGATTGCTCAACAAGGCACAGCGTGGTTCTTAGAACCTCCTCAGTTACTCTTCTGTTGCTTAAGATGTCATACAAAACGCGCTTAACACTCCGAACTAATCGCTCCCAGGAGCCACCATGGTGCGGTGCGCTGGGTGGATTGAATTTCCACTTGATCCCTTTCTGAACAAAAACAGCGGGTGCTAGCTTGTTCCAACTCTCAATGCAAGCTAAGAGCTCTTTCTGAGCGCCAACGAAGTTCGTGCCGTTGCCGGACATGATGGTAGTCGGAGTACCGCGACGTGCAATAAACCTCTCCACGCCCATCACACAAGAGCTTGTGTCGAGTGAGGGGACCACTTCAATGTGCACCGCTCTAGTGGTGAGACAGGTGAACAAAAAACCCCACCTCTTTTCCGTACTTCTCCGGATTGGAACTAGGAACGGCCCAAAGTAGTCGACACCTGTGTTAGAGAAAGGAGGTTGCTTGTAACCCAGCCTTTCAATGGGCAGATAAGCCATCATATGAGTTACGGTTTGCGCTTTGCGTTTTCGGCACACACCATCGCAAATTTAACACAACGTAATTCAAATTAACCACCGCACGCATGTAATCCAAGCCTTGATGGAAATTCCTAACGTGCAAGTGTTTAACCAATAACCGAACAACCGCTTGACGTGCATCAAGTATAATCGGATGCTTGCTATCGAAATCGGAGTTTACCAAGCGGCTGATGCGCCCAGTCGAGCGCAGGATGCCAGCTGGTCCAATGAACGGCGAATACTTGGCGATCCGACTATTCTTCGTGATGACTTTACCGGATCTTAGTAGTTTAAGCTCACTAGGGAATGTCTCACCCTGGGACAGGTAAATGAGCTTCTGTTCAGCAATATCCATTTCAGACGAGTCTGTAATTTCTAAAATACTCGACCGGAAATGTTTATGGGATGGCAGCCATCTTAACAAAAATGCTACTGTACGTTTGTATTTCACAAGTGAATTGAATCTCACCCATTTTCCGAATGGAAGACCTTTTTCTATCAAAACATCGACGGCGAAGTTTGATGATTTTTCTAGACAAATGTCGATATCACATGATGGTCCTTTGAGTCTTATTTTATCAATAACCCTTGTATCGGGCTTGAACGGCCAATCAGTTGCTCTCAATATAATAGGGCCATTAACCCAGCTGCTTTCCTCGAGGGCTTCTGAAGAAATCCCTCGTGTACCGGTATCAGCTGGGTTATCACCGCTAAGTATGTGATGCCACTGATCAGTGGTGGTAGACTCCAGAATCTCACCAGTGCGATTACCAACAAAAACGGGTAGTTTACTACAAGAGTGAAGCCACTGAAGAACAGTGGTACTATCTGTCCACATGAAAATATCCGTAACTTTGAAAGTGAGACCTTTCAAAATTTCTTCTTTTAAGCTGGTTGCAAGAAGAGCCGCTTGAAGCTCTAACTTTGGAATAGAAAGCGCTTTCATAGGCGCGACGCGGGCTTTGCCAAACACAAAGGCTAATTCGGTCTGATGGGAGCTAACAAGTCGCGCACGAAGGAAAGCGACGGCACAGAAAACATCCTGCGAACTATCACCGAACATGTGAAGTTCTATTCGGTTGAAAGAATCAGTGAAATAGCTGCGAGGTATTGTCAGAGAACCTAACAAAAGAAGACCTGAGTGCCACTCAAGGAATTGCTTTTTGATTTCCTCTGGCAGATCATCGTCCCATTTTTGACCGCTGATTCGCCAGATATCTTTTAATAGAAGGCGAGCCTTCACGGTATACGGAGCCACTAACCCAATCGGATCAAAAACAGAGGAAACAAAACTCAACACGGTACGCTGAGTGATTGCTTTGTCTAGTGGACGATCAACCCCTCTACTAACGACTAAGGTATCTTTTACGTGATCCCACTTAAGACCGAGAACATGCGACGACTGGTCTGGACTCGCACAAATATCTTTAACAGAGGAATTGGACTCACGGTTGTCCGGATCAAGAGCGGTTGTTACGTCGGGCACGTTGCTGACAAACTTTGTCAGACAAAACCCACCTATTTAAGCAACGAGACTAAATCCCTACTTAATTTCAAGGCGTCATCCCTGTTTTGAAAAGAATCCAGATAATCATACATATAGAACTTCTGGACAACAGCCGAAGCAGCTTCGGGGTACTCAGCTTGATTATCCGTTGCAGTCTTCTGCAAAGCAAAATTCGCACAAGTCGGCGAGTCACGAGCACCAAAAATGTGACGCGTATATTGGTGAACTACCACACTTGATGTGGGGTCCTCCCGCCACAAAAAACGAAGAGAAGGTTGATCTTCTTCACGGACTCCAACCTGTAAAAACATCCCTTCAATGTCAGCTGAAACGGCGTATTTATGCTGACGGAATCTTATAAGTACAAAAATGAGGTTTTGAAGGAGATCCGGGCCAACCAACAAAGATTTGTTCAAGGAAGCGCCATGACACTTCGATGCCCCATTGAGGACTCGGCGCACCTTACCGGGTTTATTCGGGTTCAACACCGGGTGATGCGGGAGATACCACTCACGATCGGCTCGTGATTTGGGTATGTGTGCCTTAACGGTTATGACATATCCTTTTTTGTATATCTTCTCTAATTGTTTCGGCGTATTTTTCACGGAGCGACGGATCCTTATCTAGCCTCTTTTCCAAAGACTTTAATTGAGCTAAGGAGGAAAAATAGTTATTCGGTAAACTACTTTCCTTATCGTTCCAAAGCATTGGTACAATGTACCTCTCACCATCGTGA